TTCCCTCAAAAGTCACAATCTTCGTCCCCATTGTCATTGCAGACCATGATGTTCATTTTTATTTAAAAGACAATCACTGAATTATACAGAGAAACTATCTTGAAAAATGATTATTGTGTTCAAGCTTTCATCACCACAATGATTTTCAACTTACTATGCATTTTAAGTTGTCCATGATTGTTTTTACAGCAGTTATTTACAAATAACAGCCTCTATGCAGTTCATCTTCAGCTTTTTTCCTCATTTACCCAACAAAGATCCTATCTCTAAATCAAATCATTTTAAACTGATTTGTTGAGTGCCTCTTTAATGTGTGAGGTTTGGTGTGAACTTGTCTTTATCTTTAATATTGAGTTTAAACACTCGCATCACTTGCATCAGTATTTAGAATGACTACTAACTGGGTCGGTAGGCCTACTGATCTATAGATAGTACAAAAATAGATAGGCCTAGTCATTGGTCTGATGATCACATGATCATATTCTGTGTTGTTTATTGATTGTTGATCCATGTGATTACTCTGGTGGGAGGTTGGTGACTAAGGCATTCTTTAAATAAAGTTTCTGATTTGGTGGTTAGCAGGCGACAGCTGTTCCTGTGAAAAGTTCAATTTGCTTTTCCATCAGCATGCCCTATATACTGAGACATACACCGTTCACCTCTCACAATCTCAGAGGGTTGAAGATGTCTCTACCCTCCCCCCCTCCCCTCCCTCCCTCCATGTTGTTTAAAGATTAAAGAGTGGGTTCTCCATCAAATGCTGTGTCTTCCTGCCTTTCTCATGGCAGCTCTTCTCCTTTTATCCATCCCATGTCTACTTCCTGCATGCTCTGACAGGGCGGGTGGGACGAAAGAAAACACGTAAACAAACACATATTTCTTTATTTATTTGTAGTCAGCATGCACACTGTGACAGGAGACGAGATGACGATGTTGAACATGGCCCAAAAAATGTTGTGTCCTTTCTTATTTCTGTGTAAAGTAGCTGGAAACAGAATTATAAAGCTCACCTCGGGATCTGAAAAGGAAAAAAATGCAGAGCTGTTTAATTTGAGAATAGAGCTCTGTCAGCAGCTATACGCTGAGACTTTTTTGAAGAAGTCCGCATGTTATCCTCCTTCCATCCTTTTAACTCGGCAGGGTTTCCCCAAATGCCTCCTATTTTGGGCTTTGGTAGGAAGAAGTATTCAGGACAAATACAACCTTATAAAAACAGTCTCTTAGAAGTGAAAGTCCTGCTTTGATTAAAAATAGGTTTAAATGAGAAGTAGGATAATGATCTAATAACTGAGTTGTTGGCCACTTTGCAGTAGCGGAAGTAAGCACAGAACAATACAATCGTCTCATGCTTACATATCCAAATTGTCACATCACCACTGATTTAAAATGACTGATTATTTATTGCCAATTACTGTAAAATATATTTGCATACTATCTCTTTGCTGGCAGTGTATTAATTGATGTTAGCAAGATTTTTACTTTGCAGTAGATCGATAGAGGCAGACGCCAGCTTCTCTCTTGTGGATGAGGCTCGCGCTGCAACCTAAACCAATGAAAGGGCATGTCTATTTGACCATTGACAGTCTAACTGGACAATCTTGCTCATGTAGCCACCTAGTGGAGATACAGATAATAGTTTTTAATTCTGTCAGCACAAACCCAAAACCTCCCACACAGACAGTGGAGGTTCATACAGTGAAACAGTTTGGAGTGAAATAGTGGTTATCTTTATAAATCCTGAGTTTCCTCTGTTCTGACGATTTATAAAAATTAAAACTGGTTTTAATTTTGCCGCTTAAATGTCTCACGGTATTCACTGCGTAGACACACACATGGAATCATGGCTGTAAACAGATTCTCTAATCTTTTAAAGTAAATAGTTGAAGACTTACGCATCAATGCAACACAATAAAGACATTTCCTGAAAATGTTGCACTGCTCAACATAATTTATAAAAATAATTTAATGATAATATGGCTCTGTGTTTTTACATTACCCTTGTTCTAACCCCTAATCACACGCCAACACAAACACTTGAAGGAATCTTGGTGTTCATGCGTTACTTTTAATGACAGTTGTCCTTTTCTATCAGAAAGGTATCCTTAAATGACTTCTTTCCCTGATTTCCGACTCTATCCACTATTCTATCCCTACAATAAAGGCACAAAAAGCCCAAAAATTAATCTTAAAAAAAACTCAACATAATATTAGGAGGGCCCGCACTTTGGGGGGGCGGGCCACCCCCCTAATATAATGGTAGGGGAAACACTGAGCTCACTCAGACTTGCTGCTGAAAAATACTAGGGGTTTGGCAGAAGAAACTCTGGGTGAAGTCTGAGTGAAAAATTCAGCTGGTTGAACTCACACATACTGTTCCTCCAGCAAATATCAGGGGTTTTCAGGAGTTTTCTGCAAGAGGGAAAGCCCTAATAAAGACTCACAGATAATGGAGAGCTAAAACTCAGTTTAGTAGAATTCAATAATAAATAAATAATATGCCAAAGATGAAAAACTGAAGACCATCTTGGAACTCTGCTCAGACTCAACCTTGAGGACTCTGGCTTGGACTCAGACTCGGGTAGTGTAGACTCAACTCGGACTCGACTTAGATTTTCTTTGGTGACTTGGACTTGAGCACCGGGGACTCTGGACTTGACATGGATTTGAGGTTTGGTGACTCGACTACAACACTGTTAGAGACTGTTGTACTTAAAAGCACTTTAGAGATGAAAAGGGAGTTCAGGTTTATCTGTTCTATTATGATTGAAATTAGGACACAACAATAATGGTACCCATATTAGCTAATGTTCGCAAACTTAAGATGAATAACGTCACCATTGGTCAAAGTGGCTGCTCTTAAACAAGAGTTTCACTTAAAGTAAAAGTGAGTTTAAAATCCTTGCTCAGTTTGTGAGACTGATTTTGGAAGAAGTAAGAGTACAGCAGCAGGGACAAAGCTATAAAAAGTATCAGTTTACACACACACACACACACACACACACACACACACACACACACACACACTTCTCATGATTAACACTTAACACATTTCACACTTTCCTCACTTGTCTTAGTGACCTATTGTGATACACCTCTAATTGAACGATGAAGAAAAGACAGAACACCTTTATTTATTATCTAACAGACACACAGCCGTGCTGGATTGTATGTGGAGCAGAATGGGGACAGAATTGAAGTGTTTAAGGACAACTCATCATCATTCTTACTCTTACACTGTTTGTGGAACCATTTCTGCTTCAATAATGAGACCGCTGTCAAAGCAACGTTCTTTGTTGTAACCACAGAAAGATGTACAAAGACTTCCAGCGTGTTTCCTCTGATGAAACTTTCTTTTTAACTTTTAATTGTGGAGGCTACAAAGTCACAGGCAGCATGGTGATGATAAGGTAAGCAGGATGAATAATGTTAATAAGCATTACAGCGCTGGTGCAGGCATAATTTGGGCTGTGTAAAGGAAGATAAGACAGCATGAAAAAACTGCAAACAACAAGCCAACCAGAACAATGTCCCACAACAATATCAATGTCAAAGAAAGTACAGTAGGGCACATTATAAGCTCTACAAAACATCAATGAACTGAAAAAAGGACACTGTGTAACAATAGCCATAATATGCTGACAGAAAGCATTTTAGGGAATTCTTCGAAATAGCTTCCAGGACCAACTATTATGTCTAACATTAAAGAAAGATTAATTTAGGGCCTATACTTCTATACATGGCATATCCATAAATAGGTTTTTGTATTCAATCTTGTGCAGAATAACCTTTAAAGGCAAAGTTATGTTCTGGCTGTTTTAAAACCTTTATGAGTCATGATTTGACACTGCCAAATAGAGTGTTTAAAAAGGCTGTCAGATTGCTGGTGGAGTAGATACATCATATCAATTCAAAACACAGAACAGCACCAGAGAAATGTATTGGCAAGGATGGCATTTGTTTTACTTTGTTTATTTAGACATGATAAAGCCCTAAAGGTGATAAGATCCTGATTTGTGGGCACCATAAGGATGTTCCTGGAAGTAAAAAAAAAACCAAACCCATCCCATTAAACTCCAAAGCGTAATAAGGCAACAATAACATTAGACTGGAGGCTTATTGAGATTTAATGAGAGTAGAATTATTCCACTGACTGTTGTGTTACTTTAGGCTCAATGGGACAATGCAAAGACTTAAACTGTTGGCAAGAACAGTTTTTAAGTTAAAGGTGAAATTGGTCTTCTCGGGATTGGAATCGAACTGTTTATCTATGTATGAATCACATGACATCAATTCAAACTTTGACAAGAACATTTACACATTTCTCACCTATACTGATGGCTGAATGTTTCTAATTTAGATATATTTTGTATGCCAACTTTCTACTTCAAGAAATATGAAGTGCCAATACGTGGTTGCTTTTACCTCTGGGTAATTAAACGGACAACATTTGAAATAATTAAAATGAATACAATTTGATCACAGGACAAAAACAATGTTACAAAATGATTTATGTTTTGACATTTTCCTTGCCTTTGTCGAATTTTAACTTTATCTTCAGTTTGGCTGATGTGGCAGTTTGACACTGTCTCCCGTATACTGTTTCATATGATAGGTGCTTACTCAGTATCCCTTCTACCTTTCAAAACCCCTCTGTCGTTTGTGTTATTAGTTAAACCTCCAATGACATACTGTATCTATGCGCCCCGGGAAAGCTACTTTGGCCAGCACCGTGTCTTATCCACGGCAAGTCCACAGACAGTTAACCTGTCCTCCCCCCCCCCATGAGCGTTTTTTGAACGTGATAATAATGTAATGTTCAGAAATAATACCGCTACAAAATGAACCCAATTAGTCATTAATCAATTCCATTCCAGTCGCTGCATAATTCTGCTTCAGGTTTTGGCACTAACAGGCTTCAGGAGTCTCTTGTGGATGACAGCGGGGAGCAGAGCCGGAGATGCTGTACAGCTCACACACACACACACGCGCATAGACACACACATGCATACACACACCCGCTGGAAGACAAACGCTCCGGTCCTCCTCCCACCTCCCCACAGCTCCTGAGAGCGGCTCAAAGAACGGGAACTATCTTCTTTTTTTTTATAACCACATGAATGGGACTTTTCCCTGCGCTGGATCCCGAGTCTGTCTCTGTGTGGACGCAGACAGAAGGACAGTTTTTTTTTCCTATAGTCAAACCCGGGGTGGAAAAGACGCAGCAATGACAGAGCAGCAGTCGTGCGCAGCGGCAAAATAGAGCAACTATTGTGGGGACGAGAGATTGATAACACAACTGGGCGAGCTACGAAAGGGCGGCAGACGTAATTTCCAAACGTTGCAGCTGGCTTTGTGCGCTTGATAGGCTGTTACTGCGTTTTGCTTTTCATCATTGACTCCTTCAACATTACTTGGACGGCTGTCCGTGCGGGAGTACCGCTGCTGCTGCAGAGACTGACGGGGAATGCCATGTGTCGTTGCGCGACATAGAAGCTCTTTGTGGGTTGTTTTGCACCGGGGACAGGTGGTGCCCCGCGCGTGTGAGTGTGTGTGTGTGTGTGTGTGTACGTGTTGCAAACTAGCAGGGGGCAGAAACACACAACCCCTGAGACAGTTGTCATAGGGATGTCAGGCCGGCGTACAGGATCAGTTTTTGCCAGAGACAGGTGCGACAAGGAGGAGTAGTTTACAAAGCCATGCACGGGATCTGGTAAGCTCCTCTACTCGGATCACACTGGGAATTTTTTTTTTTTTTTTTTGTATCCCGCGGGACACACAACCTACTCAAACTGCACCTTTTACCCAAGATAATCAAAGGTAAGTGATCCGAGCTGTCCGGAGTGGGTGCAGGGTGGGAGTGGTGGTGGTTTTTGTGCGCTCCGGGAACGGTCTCTGCCGCGCCGTGATGCTGTGGATGATTTGTATTGCCTTTGATTAGCCCAAATAATTGAATTGTGTGAGTTGGGTTAAAACGCACTCAATCAATAGCCTACATAATAGCCCCTCTCCCGCATCTTAGCTGTTTACAGCAGATTTCATTGTATAATTTTCAATTTCATACTGCGTAGCTCGCAGCCACGCGCCAAACACGCAGCCCTGACTAGGCACCTCACCATTCAGGTATTGATTCGATATCGACAAGTCTCCCAGCGTTTGATTGAAAATGGCTGAGAGTTGTGTTGCCTATTGACCGGGGTCATTCCTTACTGTACATTTGTTTGTTATTGTCAGTGCCACTTGTCAGGTTTTCATTGAGAAACTCTTAAATATGAGAGATCTGAGACTTCCCTTGCTGTGTCAATAAGAATGTTTGCCCTTTTTGAGAGAATTATTTTGGATCTAGAAAACAAACCTCATTTTATTTACTGTAAGTTGCTGTTGCAGAATTTAGAAGAGGACACTGCATGTGTCTAATGATTGATCTGAGTGTGCTCTCCTCTGTGTGTCTTGTTTTGTCTTATACATTTTAACTGCCAGAGGTTGTGCATGCTCCACTGTCCTTCCCGTCGGGCCCCTGGTGTCCACTACTCCTTCCTGCAGGCTCTATCATCCTTCTCCTGTTCCTCTCCCTCTCTCCTCTGCAGTAGCTGCTGTCGTTACAGTACACAGAGCTGCTTGGCTGGATAGTGTCAGAATCACATTTTTGCACTTTTCTTTTGTGCGAGTTGGACGGTTAACTCTCAATAGCTGGCTCCAAGTCTCCTAAAGTTTCCCCATTTGGGAGCTGTGTGTTTTTGTTGTGGCCCCTGTTTCAAATTCAAATTGCCTTTCAAGCTGCCTTTTGTCCGGCGCCCCGAGGTTTGTGGACTGGAAAGAGAGACAGAGAAGTGAGTGAAGTCCCCAAGGGTCAGAGCATTCCTATAATGAGCCCAAATGTGTGTGTGTGAGGAGGAACGAGAGAGAGAGAGAGAGTAAGATATATCTAAAGAAAGTAAGACAGTGCTTCTTGTCCAGTGCAGCGAAGGGAGGAGCAGGACCTCTCTGTCTCTCTCTGGCTGTGTCAGTCAGCCTTGGAGGACAAGAGCCCCTTTAATGCCTCTTCTTCTGGACTGTCACTCGCTCTGACATCCAGGGCTCAGGGGTGCTGCAGCAGGTTGCACATAGATCCTTCCTCTTTGCTGTTCAGATGCTTATCAGGGGCTGAAGTGCTGCATCCTCTCCTGGTTTCAGACCACTTTGACAGTACAAATAGAGGGGATAACGGGGTCGATGAGACCTAAAACAAGAGAGGATAATAAACCACATCTTGCAGCACCTTTAGCTTGACAGAGAAGGAGTTGTTGCCCTTTTTTTCCCTATCATCCGCTGACATCCCCTTGTAGGCCTGTCAAACCGGCAGTAATTACAAGAGAAGTGCTATCAGAGGGAATAAATTAGTAGACAACAGAGGAAATACCTTTCTGATATGATCTCTGATCTTCTTATTGTATTGGATCTCATTTTAATTTGCTTTGAAGTCATGGACAAAACCCCTGTGCGAGTTATTTAGACATTTGAAGTCAGAATCTGCCAAAAAAAAAAAACAACGTTATAAATGCTCCTTTAACCAAAAATCTCAAGATTGTACTCTTTTAGAGATTGTTCTAATGATAGGGCTTTCAGATTTTATATTAGGGATCTTCAAATCCTTAAATTCCCCCTTCAGGCAAAGTGTGTGTGTGTGTGTGTGTGTGTGTGTGTGTGTGTGTGTGTGTGTGGGGGGTTTAATGTTTTCTTCAACAGAATATAATTAACCAGACTGTAGGAAGCATCACTTCTGCCAAAAGAGATGACTCATTTGGGGGCAAGATTGTACAGACATGTTGGGCGAACATAAGGAAGGCACTCAAAGGAACTGTGTACCTGATGTCCTGAGTACTAAAAGTGATTAGTGGAGATACCCCCAGCACACCAAATAGCAATACTTTAAAGTACAGGAGCAGGATTTTATGTCAGTGGAGAAGTCAGAAAGCAAGGCTAAATGTGTGGCCTGAAAACCAGGCGGGGGGTTTGTACAGTCCCCGCGCTGATGTCAATTTTTGGCGATGTTTTTCTCCTCACAGCTTAACAAACTGCTCACTGGAGCATGGCTAATCCTGGGCTAGCAGTGCCCAGCGATTTATTATAAAGTTAGTTAATTTGGGGAGATCGGCAACATCCCGCCATACACATTTGTGCTTGACAGATCCCCGCTGTCTTCACTGTGGAGTCTGCATCGCCAATTAGTTTGAAGAATTGGCTGTGTGTGTGTGTGTGTGTGTGTGTGTGTGTGTGTGTGTGTGTGTGTGTGTGTGTGTGTGTGTGTGTGTGTGTGTGTGTGTGTGTGTGTGTGTGTCTGTGTGTCTGTGTGTCTGTGTATCGTTAAGAAACGAAAGAAAGACAGGGTGAGAGTTTGCACATGTCGATCAGAGAGAAACATAAGAGACTTTGTTGATCACTTTGTGTCTGTTTGCCTTCCTGTCTTGTGTAGACTTTGTGTGTGTGTGTGTCTGTGAGTCAGTCTGTCTGTGCTCTATACAAGTGTGATTCAGCACCGTCCAGCATCGCTTGAATGGGTGCCCTGTTTGTGCCGCGTTTGTGACGCCAACAGCCGCTCTGCACCCCTCGCCTCGGAGCAAGTGTTGTGCCCATATGCGATAAAAAACAGGTGCCTTTACACGATGACTTAATCCCTTTTCCCCATCTCCCAGCTGCACCCTGCAGGGGTTGTTATGTCACCTATTGGGCCCCTCCCAGCTCCGACTGAGAAATAAAACATCATGGATTAGTCAGACAGAGTTTCAGTTTCCTGAGATCTTCTTACCTTGTCATTTGACTCATTTTTCGAGTCTGAGAATCTGATTGCAGAACATGTAGGAACATGGATTTTACCTTGAGTATAAACTGGAAACTGTGGAAATGTCACTTTACAATAGGAGCTCTCTTATTAGAATTACCTTCTCAAACCAAGTCCTTTATAGTCACACTTACAAAAATGACAGTGAAGAACTCATTAAAAGTCACTTTAATTCTAAATTCTTGCTCATACCTTAACTCTAAATACGTTTTACCCTTTAACTCTTCTGTACCTTGGCAGGGGATGAGTTAGAAGTGCCTTTCAGTTGCATTATGGGAAATGTTTGGTCCACTGTTTTTGGAAGTGGACAGACTAAATGTGCGCTGATTTACATGAGAATTAAGATGAAGTGTTATTTCCCCTAAATACATTCCTTCACTGTATCTAGTTGTTTTATATCCAGCCATGAACAGCGTCGGCTGAAGAAACCGTTGCTGTCATTTTTCCTTTCACCCAAAAACACAGAGATGAATTCACTTAAATAATTCAAAAGTAGACTTTCTTTTCAAGAAACGGGTACCTTATTATTCTTTTGAATCAACATGCTGTCAACAGTTTTCATCAGGACCATTTATTGCGATTTCCACCTCTAGAGGTATGGAGATTTATTGCAATTTGAAAGAAAATGTACCTTTTGGCTGAAGTTTGTCCGTGGCAGGAATGAGTCATGAGAGCAAACATTTGATCTTAATTACATTTCAATACTGCTCCAGGAGCACCTGTGTTTCCATTTGCCTCCCCTGAGCTTGTCCGTCTTTGTTTCGATTCTCTTGGTGTAGGCCAAACTGTGGCAGCTACATTAGTGTCTTCTTTAGAAACTAGGCTGTCAATGTCAAAATTAGTTTCGTTCAACGCTGATGGACTGGTAAGAAATACTATTGAGTGGCTGAGTCTGGGGGATTGTCTCAAACCTGGCAACCCCAGCCTCCTGTTCCATTTTTCTGTCATTCTTTTTCGACAACCCTTCCCCATGCTTGTTTTCCTTCACACATTCTGCCTCCATACCACTGCTCCCCTCATTACCTCTCACACACACCCCCCCCCCCCTCACTCGCACCTTCCTCCCCTTCCCCCTCCCCCTCCCTCTCCTCTGGACCTTGATGTCAAGGCCTCTCAGGCAGTGTGGTCTCTGTCTGCAGCCTGTCAGGTCAGGGGCGCTGCCCACTGGGACCCTGAATGGGACAAATTGACCGTAACAATGTTCCCACTTAGCATGTGGAGCTGGGAGAAAGAGAAGGTGAAAAGGAGGGCCCGGTGATTGAGGGGGGTGAGAGAGGAAGAGGGAGGAAGTGAGGGAGGGAGGAGAGCAGGACAGCTCTTGAAATGTATGAATTGAAGACTTATATTAAATCAGACACCTCACCTTTTTAAACCTTCTCCTCACATTGCCTCTCTCTCTCTCTCTCTCTCTCTCTTGTTCACACTCATACAGCTTTTCCCGCTGTTATTTGCCCAAGGCAAGAGCTCTTGTTGCCATGGCAGCAGGATAAACACATTTGCCTGTGACCCTGCAAGCCCGCAAACACTTACACACAAAACACACCTAAATCTCAAGGCCCAGATGCCTTCAATGGGGGTTCCCGAAGTCTCGCAGTTTGAATCCACACTAAGGTGCTAGCACTGCCTCACAAAGGGTCAAGGGTTATTTGGCCCCCTTATTAAAATGCAATATAAGGACCACCTCGGCCATTTATTCATCCCCCCGTCATCTGCTCACTCCCTTTTATCTCTTAATCACTTGTTTTTCCACTCCTGTCTTCCTTTTGCTCTCATCTCTCCGTCTGCTACATGGCTTTTTTATACATCCAGAGCAATGCTAAGAAGCATCCAGGATAGATGAGAGAGTTCAAAGCAGGAAGCTCGATATAGTCAATAATAAGGTCTCTTTCATTTTTCTTTAAAAATGAAAGAGCGCTCTCATTGGCAGCCACATGGTAGTCTCTCTCTTCTCTGTTCCCCAAGTCTATAAAGTCTATGGTTTCAGTATTTTTTTTTGTCTCTG